CAAGGAATAGTTTACCTATCAGATCTATGGAGAACAGAAGAATTCATGACCAAACAGGAGATAGAGAACATTATGAAAAGCAAAATGGATAATTTTGATTACATTAAATTGAAAAGTTTTTGCACAAACAAAGCCAATGCAACTAAGATTAGAAGGAAGGTAGAAAATTGGGAAAGAATTTTTACAACCAGTCTCTCTGATAAGGGCCTCATTTCTAAATATATAGAGAATTAAGACAAATTTATAAGAATACAAGCCATTCCCCAATTGATAAATGGTCAAAGGATATGAACAGACAGTTCTCAGATGAAGAAATTAAAGCCATCTACAGTCATATGAAAAAATGCTCTAAATCATTATTGATTAGAGAAATGCAAATCAAAACAACTCTGAGGTACCACATCACACCTATCAGATTGGCCAACATGACAAAACAGGAAAATGATAAATGTTGGAGAAGATGTGGGAAAATTGGAACACTAATGCATTGTTGGTGGAGTTGTGAAATGATCCAACCATTTTGGAGAACAATTTGGAATATGCCCAAAGGGCTATAAAAATGTGCATACCCTGTGATCCAGCAATAGCACTTCTAGGGCTATATCCCAAAGAGATCAAACAAATGGGAAAGAGACCCACATGTACAAAAATATTCATAGCAGCTGTTTTTGTGGTGGCAAAGAATTGGAAATTGAGAGGATGCCCATCAATTGGGGAATGGCTGAGCAAGTTGTGGTATATGAATGTAATGGAATTCTATTGTGCTATAAGAAATGATGAACAGGTTGACTTCAGAAAAACCTGGAAAGACTTGTATGGTCTGATGCTGAGTGAAGTGAGCAGAACTAAGAGAATTTTGTACACAATAACAGCCATGTTGTGCGATGACTAATATTGATAAATTTAACCCTTCTCAGCATCACAAGCATCTAAGACATCTCCAGAGGCCTCATGATGGAAAATGCTATCCACATCCAAAGAAAGAACTATGGAAGTTGAATCGCTATCATTTTTTTTCTCTTCTGTTGAGTTTTGTTTCATCTTTCTGATGGTTCCTCCTATTGGTTTTAATTTTTACTTACAACTTCACTAATGTGAAAATATGTTTAATAGGAATGTAAATGTATAGCCTATATCGGATTGTGCGCCGTCTTGGGGAGGGTGGTGGGGAGGAAGGGGGAGAAAAATTTTAAATTCAAAAGGATAGGGAAGTGATTGTTGATAAATCAAAATAAACTAATAAAATTTAAACAAAAAAATCATACAGCATAATTGGGACAAAAATCTATCTTTTGACTACAAGACCAGCCTTCTTGTCGGGAAATTATATTGCCTTTTGGCAACCACAGAATCACTACATTTTAAATCTCAGAGACCTCCACGACCTGATGCAGCTTTTCATTTGGTAAAAGAAGAAACTAGGGCTGAGAGGTTAAGTGAGTTGCATAGCTAGTGAGTGGCAAAAGCAGAATGAAAATGGGACAGCTAGGTGGGGAGTGAATAGAGCTCTGGCCTTGGAGTCAGAAGGACCTGAGTTCAAATCCACCCTTAGACACTTAACATTTACTAGCTGTGTGACTCTGGACAAGTCACTTCACCCCAATCACCTCACCAAAAAAAAAGCAAAAAAAAGAAAAGATCAGAATGGAAAACCCCAGTCTACTAAGTCCCAGTCCAATGATACTTATGGTATATCACAGATATCACATACTTACAGTGTACGTGTAGTATATCACACCATGTCAGTCACCTTTTTCTTAACTATTCATCAGCAGACTCTACGGCTTCATTTTACCAGAGAGCCTGTGTCTAAAACATTTATCAAGTAGGTAGGAAATCTGTTACCTTAACTAACACTTTATAGGGTTTTTTTTTTAATGTTTTAGAAGGAAGGCAGTGGAATATAATGAAATGAGTACTAGATTTACAGTTGGAGGATCCTGTCTTTGCTTATTAATAGCTGTGTGACCTTGGACAAGCCATTTTGCTTCTAAGGGGCTTAGTTTCCTCGTCTCCAAAATGAAGACTTTTAGTCCCCTCCAACTCTCAGTCTACAAACTTTGATGTCATCTTGTCCCTGCCAGTAGTCCCACTAAGAGTTACAAGAGCAATGGCAAGGATCCGTGCTTCTGCTAACATTTCCATTTTACTTTCAGTCTCAGTGTCTAGCCTTTGGCCCAGTCCAACGTGGAATGGACTGAAATTACTGTCAGAGATATACCAGTGAGACTCGTGATGTTTAGGTATGTTTCATTATGATCCAGAGCTTTTTTTAAGGGGTAAAGGGACAGGATTGTTTTGTTTTAATAGGGACTGCACTGATTTGTTGGGTTCCAGTTTAGATTCTATTACCAAATAGCCTTGAGATCTTGGCCTCTGACATTAACTAGCCTTGGGAAAATCACTTAGTAAAGATTTACTCTCAGGATAGTTTCAGAAAAACCTAGGAAGACCTATGTGAATTGATGCAGAGTGAAGTGAACAGAACCAGATCATTGTACGCAGTAACAGCAATATTGTAACAATAACTAATTGCGAAAGATTTAACTACTCTGGTGGATACAATGATCCAAGACAATTCCAAAGGACTCATGATGATAAATACCAATTATCTTCAGAGAGAGAATTGATGAACTCTGAGTGCAAACTGAAGTATGATTTTTTTCATTTTCTTTATTTTTCTTGCTTTTGGGGACAACATGGCTAATCTGGAAATAACTTTTGCATGGTTTTATATGTATAATTGATATCATATTGCTTGCCTGTCAATGGTAAGAAGGGAGGGAGAAAGAGAATTTGGAATTCCATTTTTTTTAAATAAAAGAATGTTTTAAATAAATAAATAATAAAGAGGGGGTGGGAGAGAGAAGCTTGCTCTCTAGGCCAGCATTGTTTCACTTACCTGCAAAATGATAGGATTTAACTAGATAAATAACTGGCTAATTCCTGATCTGTGTTCTATTAATTTCCATTATACCTAAGAGTGAATTACTATTAGATACAACTCCAGTCATGCAGAACTTCTAGAATGCTGCTAAGAAAGGGTTGCTACAGAATCAAGCATAATTCTTCCCTGTCCAAATTTTCCAAGTCTACTCATTGTGGGACGGTGACCTAGCACCCATCATTGGGACTTATACATAGCGGCAGGAATTTTGTAGCTAGGAATTTTGCACCCAAGCAAGTGCCACAAATCAGAGCAAATGGTATGAAATACAGCCTCAACTGAAATTATAGCAATGTGGAATGGCAGAGACCCCAGGATATCAGCATGAAGCCACTGTGAGGAGCCTGTTCTTGGTGGTGAGAGCAGGGGTAGAGTTCACTTCAGTTCCATCTGTTAGCTTCCTATTTTAACTACTTTTGCTAAGGGATAAGCTCTTTTGTTTCTATGCTATACTAAAAGTTCTATTAGCATCCTCTAAATTCGGCACCCTGTGGCAAAGTCCTAATCGCCCCACTCTAGTTATGGTTCTGCCTAGTGGGATCTGAATAATATTTGTGAAATTGAATTGCTCCTAGCTCTGTCTTTGTAATGTAAGTAAATCACCAAATTAATTTTTGCAGAACTTTTTAGAAATGTTTCATAACCTGAAATACCTATATGTCTACATCTGTCTATCTTTCTAAAGCAGTATTTCAGTGCAAGCCACAATGAAATGTGGTGATGAAACATGCTTAGAGATTTTAAACACATAATGACCTCTGCATGTTGCTAATAATTATATTCTGGAATATTCTTACTTAGCTGTTGTTCTCTGTCAACTGCTGGGGACAAAATCTTCTCCCAGGCACATGTATCTTTACTCCCTTATTAATTGCTATTGTTATGTGGGTTTGAAACATTTGAATAGCTATTGTCCACAGAAGCAATAAATAATACTGTCACCATTATTTATTCAGAGTTACTAGTTTATTTAGCTAAAAAAAGTGTCAAAAAGCATTCATAGTCATGGGGCAGCTAGGTGGTGCAATGGATAGAGCTCTAGCGTTGGAGTCAGGAGGACCTGAGTTCAAATATCACCTCAAAACTTGATACTTACTAGCCATGTGACCCTGGGGAAGTCACTTAACCCCAAATGCCAAAACAAAAATAAAGAATGCATAGTCACAAAGAAAATAAGAATTTATTAGGGAAGGGATAAGAAAATTATGTTCTATAGACTGACTTTATGTTTTGGGGAAAAAAAAGGTCCACTAGAGATGAATTGAGTAAGGGAGAAAACATGCCAATATACCCCCCAATTTAAGCAAAAGTGATATATTAAGACCTAGTTCCACCATAAAAAGTAAAATGTCAAATAACTATCTACCTTACAGAAGGATTTTCATGGAATTTCAAACTTGGAAAGGACGTAGGCGACCCTTCTAAACATTTCAGGGCCATACCTATTACATAATACAAGATAGACTTAACTAGGCCACAGGAAAAGAAAAAAGGTTATCAATCCTTTTAACATCAATATCCAGACTCTTCTAGAAAGAGGGTATCCTAGAAGAGGGTATCATTAATGTATCTAAATATTTTATATACTCTCAGACACCCACACGGGCAGACAACAATAAATAAAGCTTCTTTAAAAAAAATAATGAATCTTCTTTAATAAGAAATTGGTTCTGATATTGCTACCATAAGGTTCTTAGACTGTTAATTAAATAATCAAATGTGATTCCATGACTAGTGAGTCTCTGGGTGCTAGCCTGATACTGCTATATATGTTAGACCAAATCTTCACATGCACAGAGCATTAAAAATAAAAGATACATATAGGAATCCTAAAGGCTTTGGGTTTTGTTTTCTTGTTCTCTCCCTCCTTCTCTCTCTCTCTCTCTCTCTCCTCTCTCTCTCTCTCTCTCTCTCTCTCTCTCTCTCTCTCTCTCTCTTTTTCTCTCTCTCGCTCTCTCCTCTCTGTTCTCTCTCTGTCTCTTTCTCTCTCTATCTGTCTCTCTCTCTTTTCTTCTTCTTCTTCTTCTTCTTCTTCTTCTTCTTCTTCTTCTTCTTCTTCTTCTTCTTCTTCTTCTTCTTCTTCTTCTTCTTCTTCTTCTTCTTCTCCTTCTTGCTGGCCAAAACATAGCTCCAAAACAGCCAGGATTTGCTAGTTCTGTGTACGATAAAAGCAAGAATTCACATTAGGTGGGTAGGAAACAATAACTTTGCCTCATCAGCTTATTTTTTGTGATGGCTCAGATTCATTTGCAAGTTAAACCAGAGAGGATTTGGGGAATAACTAATCCTAAATTTTATTGTTGTTGTTGTATAGTTGTGTCCAACTCTTCATGACCTTCATCTGGAGTTTTCTTGGCAAAGATACTGAAATGGTTTGCCATTTCCTTCTCCAGCCCATTTTACACATGAGAAACTAAGGCAAATAGGGTTAAGTGACTTGCCCAGGGTCACACAGCTATAAAAGAAAGGTTTTTATCTCTCTCCAGATAGAGGGGGTTAAAAATGAACAGCTTAATCTGGCTGGGTCTTTTTAGGTGAGTGTGATGCCTATGATGAAAAAGTATCAGAATGCCCTAATCAAGAAAATGTTCTAGCCACTATACGCTAGCCGACTGGTGCTGAGATGGCTTGAATGGTCCTGAAAAGATAATTTTAGAAGCTAGTAGCAGCATGCAACAACCAGCAGAAATTAAATATCCAGTAACCATCAGAGCAACATGATTGAAGAGACCACATGCCCAGTAGTCACCGGTAGAGCAATGAAAACCAGCAGAACAGCATGACCAGCAAAGACACAGAGATGTATCATTCAGTAGAGGGCAGGCTCAGTTAGAGCAGCATTTTGATATCAACAGAAAATGTTGATGATCTTACAACACGTTAGGTACAAGTTGCTCACGTGAGCCCTTCATATAGGAGCCCTTGGCATGTCTTCTCTGCCCACTGAGAGTGTGCGTACTTGTGGGAGAGAGTTCAAGGGGGAAATTCTTTTTTGAATGATCTTACTAGGCTATTTCATTAAATGCCATTGCTTTGAATTAATTATATCCTCTGGCTGCCTAGATAAGTTAATATGTCAGGGAGGAACTCAAGCTATAGTCTGAGTGGATATGGATGCAAAGAATGCCTTGGAACTAGGACTATGTGTAAGAGATGGGGATTCCAAATGCTACATGCAAATTGTCTGTTGTATCTTGTGCCAAAGCTAGCATCTAAGAATAAGGGGCCTAGCGCATGTCAAGGAAACAGGTTAAACCTGTTGCAAGCTATTTTTGAGTGGGTTTCTAAATGCAGACGTAGAACTTCTCAACAGGCCTGGCAAGAGGGCCTTTAACATGGGCAAATCAGAAAGAATCACTTTGGATTGGGTACTTAGAGAAGAGCCCCCTATTTGGTTGCTATTAGCAATTTAAGATAGAGATCTGGTTATTTTTGGAGCACCCCCATCAAAAACATTCTGTGATGATGATAATGTTGATGCCCAGGTGGAAGGATATTCTTTATTAGTTTGCATAAATGAGAACAATTTAGAGCTGAAAGGAGGCCATGATGATGGGGGTTTTTAGAAAGAGATTGAGCAATGACCTAAACTAGGAACATTTAGCAGGACGTCCCATGCCTGGATATCTAGCAACCATAATGGATTCAATTAAGAAGCCCTAGTCTCACACCCTAAATCTACTAGATACTATTTATGTGACCATGGGTTTGGGGTGGGGGTAGCATTTTACCTCTCTGTGCTTCATTTTCTTCATCTGCAAAATGAAAGTTGGATTATGTGACCTCTGAGGTCACTTTCAGATCTAAATCCATGATCTTATGTTTTGGCTACCCAGTTGAATTACCACCTAGAAGACAAGAAGTGGGAATGGCCCAGACCTAGAAGGCCTACAAAGAAGCTATCAGTGTTATATGAGAACTCCAGTCCCACAGAGCTAGGGGTTAGCTAGAGATTACAGGTCCCTAAGGTGTGTGCATGGTCCACGCTTCCAGTGCTGACCCTAATACAACAGCAGGCCAAGCATGAGGCTCACTGAGGAAAACCCTTAGAAGAAAGCAGGGAAGACCTAAGGCTGGACAAAGAGAAGCTTGACCACAGCCTCATAAGGTATAATCATACTGGGCTCATCATACCTGGTACTACCAATGCAGGGGACAAGGACAGCTGAATTAGGCAAAAATCCCAGGAGTAAGGAAAAGACATCTTTGCTCATTGACTTCAAGAGATTGCGTACATGGGGGAAAAGGTCAAGGCAGACCCAATAACCGTAAGCCATTATCTATTCCAGAGTTTCATAGAATTATTTGCTCACAGATTAATGGTCAGGAGGGGCATGATATTCTAGATGAAGTCCATTATTGAGTGAATAATTATAACTAAAGGCAGACTCTTGGGAAATTGATATGATAGGAAACCATTTCACTGAACTAGCCAACAAAAGGTCATTCAGATCTGGTTGTTTAAATAGTTGACCACATAGACTTCACAGGGCAGTACTTGGGTTACAGTGGATTTCATGCCTTGGTTGGAGCTCCAGTCAATGTACTTTCTCTAACCCTGGATTACAGTGACAATTCTTCAGTCCTCTCCAACAATGCCATTCTAATAGCTGAAGTCTTGGAACAAGATAAACCAGTGAGAAAGAAGTTAACCAACATCTGCTCCACCATAAGCCTAGAATCTAGAAGATCATACTTATAAGAGAAGCTCCCAACAGATAAAGCAGTTGAGTGGCATAGTGGATAGAGTGCTAGGCCTGGAGTCAGTAAGACTTGAGTTCAAATCCTGCCAAAGACACTTACTAGCTGCGTGACCTTGGGTAATTCCTTTAACTTCTGTCTGCCTCAGTTTCTTCAACTGTTAAATGGGGATAATAATGCACCTACCTCCCAGGGTTGTTGTGAGGATCAAATGAGATAATATTTGTAAAGGACTTAGCATCATGCCTGTCACATAGTAGTAGGTCATATATAAATTATATTATTATTCACCTACACACACACACACACACACATATAAATTATTAGATTTCTTAAGTTCAGGTGTCTACCTGAAGTAAATTCCCACCCTTTATCCCTAAGGAAGTTCAAAAACTGACCACTTACCCTGCTCAACAGATACCTGAAGGTGCAAACGAATCAAGAGAAGTATTTGAAGCTACTATTTGCATAAATAATTCTTTCTTGGAGAATCACTAGGAGGAAACCTAGTCAAAAGAAAAGGCAGCAAATATTTGATAAGGAAGGACTAAGGCAACCCATAAAGTCCTAGGGATATTCCCCAGCATAGGAGAGTAGAGCATTCCCTGGTATCTTGGACCCAGAAAACACCTGCTAGCTGGTTGATGATAACCTTGTATCATAAGGTCAGATACAGATACATCTTTAACACCGGCTTCTGAGCCCTTCCCTATTCTTTTGGGCTTGTGAGGTCAAGGGACTTCAGCAGTCAGAAGTCAGAGAAACCTGACCATGATTTGCTGATGGAAATGATCATTAATAACCAATGATTTGGAGAGATTCAGATTTTTCCCTTTTTCTTTTATCCTCATTTCAAGACCTCAGTCTCTGAAGATTGAACTAACCTCCTCCATCCAGACCCCCAGCCATTGTGCTCTGCTCAGGTTTGAGTGGGGACAAATTATTTGAATAGATTGCCCAAGACTGGGGTTAACTTAAGAAGTACATGCCATAATCAAAGTTCAGATCCAGCCCATCATTGTAATATTCATTTTCTCATTATTGTTAACCAATCAGAGTTGATTGTCACCCTCAAGACTACCTACTCTTTGAAGGGCGTATAAACTGTGAGCCCCTACCATATTGTCTTTGGTGTGAGAGACATGGTCAGATGACCAACCTTTTATTAAAATGCTGACATTATTAGTAAAATTATTAAATTACCCAGAAATTATGTCTCTTGAACCTTTATATATACCACCACTGCTTAATAATTTTAAAATGCCTCCAAATAGTAAAGGCAAACAGGAACATTTGCCACATGAAAACAAATTAATCAGAAAATATTTGGGGATTATTTTCAGGATGCTGAAAAGATGTAAAAACTGTGGAATAAAAGAGTCCTTTAAAGTTACTTGACATTGTCATTTTTAATAGGTATTAAGTATTCTGTGCCTGATTTGAAAGATAAAAGCAACTTGCTATTGAAGACTGTAACAGCTCTTTAAAATTGGTCGGAAATGGATTCTAAGCCTCCTAGAATCAGTACTAATATGGTCATGATTCTCAGCACTCAAGCAAAGTCATTATTTAAATCCTCTAGAACTGCATTAAAATCTGGTGTTAATTAATAACCACTTGAAACTTCAAAGTTGTTCAGTGGGAGTGGTTTTCAATAGGGAGAGAAAAGGCTTTTATGTTTTTAGTGGAAGAAAGGAAGTTGAAACTGGGAGGGAGCAGAGAAGTAAAGCATTCTACAGATGGCTTTGACTCCTCATGGGAAGGCTTTGTTTTTGCCAGTTAGGGTCTTTTGTGGTCCCTGATTGGTTTTCAAGATCACAAAACTTTCAGAAATCTCTTTCTTTTTCATCCAAGCACTTTGGTCTTACATTATGGGAGAAAGGAAAAAGGTGAGAGGATGCAACATACAGTTACAACCTGACCTATTCAAATAATTTATTAAAGCTGAAAAAGGGGCGGGGAGGGGGGAGAAACAAGGAAAGAAACATCAAAAGACTATTAGCATTTCCTACAGAAGTTTAAATAATATAGATGAATCACTATAACAAGGAAGCCCAAAGAACCCAGAAACTGCCTTACGAAGTAAATACTTGAGCTCCTTGCCAAGGAGAGCAATATGGCAGTTAAGAACTATATTTTTAGGAGGGTAGAATGTTATGAGATCATATTGCTTGTCTTCTCAAGGAGTCAGGATGGTTCTGGAGGGAGAGAGATAATTTGGAGCTCAAAACTACAAAAAATGAATGTTTAAAAATTTTAATACAATTGGGAAATATTTAACAAGTTAAATATATATACATGTATTTTAAATATTATCAGCATTCTCACCTCTTAAGACATTGAGAAAGGGAGGAAAGAAAAAGAAATTTGCAGAAATTTTAGTATAAAATCCAATTAAGCCAGATTAACCCAAGACCATTTAAAGATGAAACTGGAAGAAGCATAAGAAATAAATAAGGGAACAAATTTGTTATTATTTCTATTGAAAACTATCAGTTAATATGGGTCCATCTTATTTAGATTGGAACATCTCTGTCTATGATTTGCTTTATGAAATAGATAGAGATGGTACTAAAGAAGACAGAATCAGGAAGAGCAGCTGGATAAAACCAAGAACATATAGACCAGAGGTTCTTAACTTTTTTATACATTATAGACCCCTTTGCCAGTCTAGTGAAATATATGTCCCCTATCTCAGAATAATTTATTTTAATTCATAATGGAAGGAAATGCTAAGTTAGAGGCTGGTGAAAATAAAGATGCAATATTTTCCCATCCAAGCTCACAAATTCTCTGCAGTCTTTCCACCAACCCCTTGGGTGTACTTGGACTCCAAATTAAGAATCCTTGACAGAGGAAATCTAGGTTAGAGGTAGTATGATTTTAACACTATGAAGGGATAATTTCTCAAGATATCTGAAAGGGGGAAGATATCGAAGATTGAAAACTCTTGAGCATTATTTCTACAAACAAAAAAAGGTAATTGAAAGGACATCAGTAACTACCAACTCATATACCAATTTCTCTTTTTATTTCTATAGAATCTTTAAGGATGAGATATACATGAATCAAAGGCAAACTTCATAAAAATGTGAATTCCTGCCTGTTCTCTTCTCATTAGCTCTATTCTACATTAGACCAAATATTTACTGTTATACAATTGACTCAAAGGGAAAGATATTGCACATACTTATTGTTTGTGGATGACATAAAAGCATTTGATTTAGTAAAGCAAAAAGCAACCTTAAAAGCTTTCTCCAATAAGATGCCCTCCATGAATATGTCAAGATTATACAAGATTCTCTAAAAGATGCAGCCTCATTATGCAATGCTCTATTTCATGTGCTCCACAGTGTAACCAAGTTGACCTTGTTGCTATAACTCCCACACAACAACCCATCTTCACTCTGTGCTGTTCACCATGCCTCTTAGAAACATGTCCCCCCCCCACCTCTGCCTCTTAGAATCCTTTGTTTCCTTCAATAGTAAGCTCCAATAGCACCTTCTATATGAATTTTTTCCTGATTCCTGCCCTTCCTTAGCTCTTAGTATCTTCTACGCTACAAAAAAAAATAATTATACATAATACTTATATTGGATATATTTACATATAGAGAGAAATATAATATATACATGTATGTACATGTTATCTCTCCCAATAGAATGTAAGCTCTTTGAGGGCAGGGACTGTCTTTGTATCCCTAGCACCTAGCACAGTTCTAGGGCTATAGTAGGCCCTTAATAAATACTTGAAAATCATTGATTAAAAGAATGAAAGATATACCCTTAACCCTCTCAGAAATGTTTGCATCTTTTAAAAGGAAAATTTTATCATCCCAAATGAATCTGTAATTGGTGGGGTTTCTGTAAATAAGTGAAGTAAAAGAAAAATCAGGCCATGAGAGGAAAGAAAATGTAAGACAGAGTTTTTACCTTCTTTGGAAACCAATGCTTCCTGGCTCTGTTGCCATACAAGGTCTTTGCTTTGCAGTTTGATCCCTTTCTTCCCTTCTTAACACATAACTTCTCTAAAACTATTTTAAAATTATTTTCAGGTTGAAAATAATTACTGAGGCAAACACAGGGGTGTACTGGAGCCAGTTCCTACTGGCTCTGGAAGCCAATTGTTAAATTTTTTCAGTGTGAGCATTTATGCCTCAGAAATCAGCAAACACTACACATCAGAGGTTAATTTACTGTTTTGTTGATTATCTAGATTTAAGAAAGTGATGGAGAAAATGTCGATAATGCATCTTAATAGTTTTTAAAACTTAATAGTTTTCAGAAAAACCTGAGAAGACTTACATGAACTGACACAAAGTGAAGTGAGCAGAACCAAGAGAACATTGTACACAGTAACAGCAATATTGTAACAATGATCAACTGCAAAAGACTTAGCTACTCTGGTCAAGATAATGATCTAAGACAACTCCAAAGAATCCATGATGAAAAATGCTATCCACCTCCCGCAAGAGAACTGATAGAGTTTGAGCACAGATTGAAGCATGCTTTTTCACTTCCTTTATTTTTCTTGTTCTATATGTTTGCATTTTCTTTTGTAACATGACTAATTTGGAAATATGTTTTGCATGACTTCACATGTATAATCAATATGTTGTTTGCCTTCTCAAGGGGAGCAATGAGAGGAAGAGATACAATTTAAAATTTTAATGAATATTTAAAAATTTTAATGTAATTGGGAAATATTTAACAAAATAAAAGTTATTTTAAAAATAAATAATACAGATTTAATTTAATCTGCAGACATGTTTTCAGAGTCATTTGTTATACATTTACCAGCATACCCCTGAGCATACAGGAATATCATTTATACCAGATCATGACTAATCTCAGAAAAACCCAGTGAAACTGCTTCAACACTGTTGTTACAAAAAAATAAAGCTAAAAAATTAGAGTTCAAGTGTCCCCTGCACTAAGTCCCTTATAGCACTAAAAGGAACCAATATTTTTATGAGCTGCTTTCTATTAACAATGGGAACCAGAAATAATGCCTCTCTAAATAATAATAATATCTGATATTGACAGAGATTCTTAAAATGTACAATACTTCACATACATTATCTCATTTGATCCTCATAGTAGCTTTGTGAGACAGGCATGATTGGTATTACTGTTCCCATTTTACAGATGGAGAAATGAACCTCATTTACTTTGCCACCTAGAGGGACAGGACCTTAAGTGGATCAGGAAATAGAGCACTGGGCCTGGATCCAGGAAGCCCTGAGCTGAGATCAAGACTCAGACAATTACTAGCTGTTACCCTGAGCAAGTCACTTAACTTCTGCCTTCCTCAGTTTCCCCAACTGTAAAAATAAGGATTATAAAAGCATTTGCCTTCCAGGGTTGTTGTGAGGATCAAATGAGATAATATTTGTGAAGCATTTTGCAATCTTTAAGGCACTATATAAATGCTAACTATTATTGTCACGATACAAATTTGCAAGCATAGTCAGAATCTGTTAAAGTGACAATTGTCCTACCTTGT